AAAAAAAAAGATTGTGTGAACCAGCTTGCTCTAATCGGAATGAAAAATCTTACAGCGGTTGCAACACGTCTGCCTCTGGGCATCGCCTGACATGATCGTGGCGATTTCACAGTTGCTTTCAATTTCTGTTATATTCTGTCAGTTGGAGTTTAAGACCAATGGTGTCTTTATCCGTCATTTGTCATTTTCATAACCTTTCGTTCTTTTTTCGCAGTATCGCAAACTCGTTTTAGTAATGTGACGTATACATTTTCCTCTTTTTCTCCTGAACGTTTAATTTAGAGCTTCTTTTCCGCAGATGATACGTTCAGTCATTCCGGTGGCTATACGTCGACTGCAGGTTCGAACTTTAACCTCGGACAAAGAGAAGGATTTACCAGTGGTTCGTCTCCACGATGCGAAACGGAAAGAAGTTGACGAAATTCTTAAACCAGCGGTTCCAAAGGTCTGTATATCCTTTGCTGCTTAGTGCTTTATTCATATATGTTATATCAATCATTAAGACATTTTTGAAAATTTCTCTGCGACCTTGTGGCTTTTTCTAAACAGATTGAAAATAGAGTTGGACGTGATTCTCGAGCTCATTACTAGATAACCTTCCCACTACATTGCCATAATTAAAAAGCCAATATATAGTAATTAGAAGTTCAAATCTTACAAATGTTGAGGAAAATGTCGTTGCTATTATTAGTTGGTTTTTTGAAAGTCTGATGCGTTTTAGGTCCCAGTTCCTGTCCTAAACGACGAGACAGCAGACATTGGCGGCAGACCGCCGGAACACACTGAAGAACGAACGGCCCGCATATTCCGAGCTGCTCGAGAAGCAACTCAATCACCATGGAATAATACTAAGGTTTGGTAAATTCTGAGTTATAATATGTTGTTTGTCGTTTTTCTTCTCAATGACTCTTATTTTTGTATCTTAGCCATGGCATATCGAATTAGATAACCGTGAGCGTTGGGAGAATCCGCTGATGGGATGGTGTAGCTCGTAAGTATATTCTTTTTTAATACTTTAGTAAATCTTTTTGTGTTATCAAGCTTCCAGTCATATCACTAGTTACGCTAGATGTTTATGCATATCAGTATTTATTATCAATCGTTTTTTTTT